TTTATTTCACTCTCCTAGTTAAAAAGTTAAGTTTGATGATTCATAGAACGCTTAACGCAGTTTTATGTATTTTATTAACTATTTTGAGTGATTTATGTCGATGTGATTTTTTCAATGAAATTCACACGGAAAATGATTCGCATATCAAGCGTTGTGAATTGAATCGTTTAATAAAGGTTTGCTCTAAATTCTTAAAATTCTTTCTATATTTAAGAAAAATAATTCCATAACAGTCTATCATAGTCACACAGGCCTTCATAGGTCGCCTCATTGAGGGATTTTGTCACAGTTGCTCTCTTGGCAGAATCTTTGCAACCGCAGTTTATATTAATTTGTTAGCTGTGGCCCATAGACATCTACTTGTATCCCCGATTACAAATGAAGATGTAGGTGTATTGTCACCCGTGAGGACTAAGATGGAATGCCGCGTTTACAGTAAAAAGGGTCTCCGGTTCTCTACATTTACCATTACCATTATACCATTTACACAGCAGCTTTAAGCTGCTATTTTACGCTGGTATTCTGTGAGAGCGTGGTCCTACCCCGGTCGACCTAACTCATTCGTGCAACAACTATACTAGTAATATAGCTGCAGCATGGCTCTACCCGTGGTAGCTGAGATGGTTACCGCTCGCTGTAAATATAACAGAACGCGAGTCACCCGGGTTCGATCCCCGCCGGCACCAATGAAATTATTAATTGCAATTTTAAGTCTTGATTTATCACGTGCTCGGCGGTGAAGGAAAACATAAACATAAAAACATAAACACTCACGCCTGTCACCCAGAGGGGTAGGCAGAGATTACGGACTTCCATTTGGCACGATCCTGACATACCTCTTTCGCCTCCTTTACATCTATATATCTACGCATACATGCTCGTCGGTTAAGGGTACTTCTAACGTGGCCCATTTTCAAAATATCGCCAATTTGGTCGACAAACTTTTTTCTAGGGCGTCCCTTCCCGACTCGGCCGTTCACATCTGCCATATAAATTTGCTTTGTCACTCTTTCATCATTCATTCTTTCTACGTGACCAAAGGAAAACATCGTGAGGAAACCTGAATGTCAGATAAATAAGAAAAAAGATATTTCGAAGACATGTGATGTTCGCCGACACGCATTGGGGCAGCGCGGCGGACAATTCCTTGCCCTAAAACCCTCTCAGAAAGAAGCGGAGGCCTCTGCCCAGCAGTGGGACGTATATAGGCTGTAACTTTACTAACTTTATGGGTCTACCACGAAAACGAGTTCATTAATTCTACGTTTCCAAACACCCAGCATTAGTTTCACTGGTCACAACATCTTGTAAACCATACTTCTCTTATCTCACCATTTCTCATCCTACCATTCAGTTTCCCCCTTAACATACTTCTCAACGACTGAATTTTTTCTGCCTTCCCAAAATCTACTACCATACATTAAGTTAAGGACTAACACACCATAGGTGCCTTTTTTGGCACATACCGACTTCTTACAATATAATGGAGATCTCCATTTTACTCTGAGTCCTGCATTCACTAATTTTCCTATATCCTTCTCACGTCTACCATCGCTGCTAAACACCTAACTACACAAACTGATCCACTTGCTAAACCATCTTAACTTTTATCTAAACTTACGTTCATGTCACTTTCGTGACAGTGGTTCGTCAATCTTTCCCCTCTAATAAATTTCATGGAAAAACTTATTCTAGTTCTTGATTAGTATGCAAGGTAAAAAAATCTCTACGAATTATCAATAATCGATCTACATTATTTTTCTTAACCCTTATTTTTCAATTTTAAAAGGTTCAAAGCAACTGTCCATAAATAGATTGAACGAGGAAGCTACACAATCCTGTCTGATACCTTTATGGATTCCAAACTCTGTATAGGCCCTGCTAATCTTAACGCAAGCACACTAGTCTGTATAAAGATATTTTAATGCCTGTATCAGCCCAGCACTCAACGCGACTCGGCCAGTATTTGCCATAAAGTAACCCTGTCCACTCTGCCTTTTTCAGGTCTAAAAAACACGACATAATTCCTTTATTTTTTAATCAAAAACTTTTAGGTGATCTGATCTGATTTAATCCGTACACCCTTTCTACATTAAACGTGAACCAAATTTTCGTCTCTATCATAACTCTTTCAACGCTTTAGCACAAAATTTTCTGTTAATGCGAAGCAGGCTGATCACACTATAATTTTTTCAGTCGTGCTGTGACCCTTTTGCCAATGCGACTATAACGGTTTCGTACCAGTCTCCCGGTACTCGTTTAGGTTCTCAGCGTAAATTTAAAAAAGGGCAGCAGGAACGTCCTTTTAATATTAAAATAATAATGTTACTACTTACTCTTTGTTGTTGGAGGCCTTTGTTTACTTCAAGTTTTAACTCCCACAGCTAGAAGGTACTTCGAAATACATACACAACTGACATCTCCCGAGAGAGGCGAGTTAGGAAATGTGTTTAGTTTATTTTATCTCCTTACCAAAAACTTTTCCTCGTAGTCCGCGCAGACAAAATGTCGCCTTCTAGTGAAACATTCGTTTTATAACAACATAATTATAAATCCTTTCTTAGTAACTAACGTATCACGTTGGCCTCAGCCAAAGGGCATGTGAACGCGACCGAACGCCATTGGCTCATAAAACAAGTTCTCTGTGAAATAAATCAAAGTACACTTCGTTATCAAATTATCAAAAGCACGTGAGACTGTTAATTTCCACGTCGGTCAGTTTAAAGACATGTTCCTTGAACCGTGTCCGCTCAGAGATCATATCAACGTTCGTAATTGCATACTAGAAACATTAGCTTGGACGTAAGCACTACGGGTGAACAAATTTACAGATAATCTTTCATATATATATATATATATATATATATATATATATATATATATATATATATATATATATAAGTAAATGTATGATTGTCCCCTTTTTCCTTATCAACTACACTACTTAATGTTCTATATATTTCACAGCTAAAAGTGTTTATAGTTATATATTTAAAGTTTAGATTTCATGCATTTTAATTTTTTTGCGCGGAACCATAAACATAAACGAACAAAGAGACACACAGACAGATGAACAGACACAAAATTTATAAAAAATGTTTTTTTTTTTAATTATAAATACCGTATATACTTTCAAATACATTTAGTAAACAGCTATTATGTTGACATTACAAACAGACATTTCAATTTCATTTATTTGTATAGATAACATTTTAAACTGTCACTGTGTCTATCAGTGTCATATAGACGTACTTTTTACAATCGACATGAGAGCTCATTCGTTATATAAACTTATAGATATAAGATATAGAAAACACGTTCGCAGATTGGATACGATCTAGTTGGTGGAATGTAAATGGAAATTGAAAAATTTTAAAAAATGCGAGGGATGTCCCTCGTTGGGGTTGTCGAAATCGTAAATTTAAATTGTCCATCCCTCAACATGCAAATTCTTTTGTTTGCTTACTTATACAATTACAGTAATTATTTCGGATCCGGTTTTCACAAAAGTATGTATACCTATTGGTTGAAGTTGAAAGTTAAAAACCTATATACGTCCCACTGCTGGGCACAGGCCACCTTTCATTTCTGACAGGGTTTTATGGCAAGGAAGTGTCTTACCTCACATGTCTTCGAAATACTTTTTTTTGTTCTCTTTTCTCAGACATGCAGGTTTCCACACAATGTTTTCCTTCACTCGGCGGTGAAATTACCTGGTAAATCAGCACTTAAAATTACAATTAACAACTTAATTGGTACCGACAGAGACCGAACCCGGGCTGCTCGCGTACTGTGGAATTACAGCTAATGCTTAGCCCCTGGGTTACCACGGATGTATATTGGTGTTAAGTCTGATTCACATACTTCTAAATATTTAATTATAAAACCACAGCAACTAATATAAATATTATGTAATAAATTATAATCATCAAAATTCTTAACTATATTTGTGTTTAAAAAATATTGACTATGTAAAGAGCACACGGTCTTGAGGAGTAGTGACGTCATTAACTTTTGCTAATGAAGCTTGAGCTTTTGAGTTTTAAATAACTTGCGCCAGCGCGGGAGGCGGGCTTTGCTCTTAAACATTGTGCCGTGTAGATTTTTTACTTTGGACATGTCTTTAACAAACCACATCAAAAATATAAAGACGTAACTTTGAAGCGGGGCATCGTAATAATTATACAAGAAAATTATCCATATAGCAAAGTTAATCGTGTTTATCCGTCATTAAACAATCTCCTTGTTTCCTAAAAAACACGGTAAAGTTTTTATTCTCTCCACTACTTACTAAATTCTAGTAGCTGTCTTATAAAGTGCGTCATAAATTCTATAGTTTAAAACCAGTAGAACGAGATCTAGCGATAGCGGGAAGGTTTCGGCGACATTTATCCCTCGAAACACAAATTAACGTCAGTGCAAAGTTATGTCGCTAGGTAGCGGCGCGGTTGTCACTCATGCTCCATCAACTGCTGGGAAATGTCGAGGATATGACGGCGGGTCAGCCACATGTCGAACGAGACGTGACACTATTTCATCTCCCCGTCTCAGTTTTGAGGAACCGTTTCCTTCAGTCAGACAAAGACGGAATTCAAACTTACTAGCGCTTAAGAATGCGCCGCTTAGTTATCTACACCAAACGGGGGCATGTATCACAGGCAGGTTGTCGCTAATAGGCGTTTTACTCGGAATATATGAAATTTTACGGCTTCATGTGTGTCATGGGCTGGGGACACGTGTCAGTCAGTATCGACCGTCAGGTCGGTGGCGGTGCGATGAAGCCCGCGCTTATCGTGAGCTTGCCAATAGAAACATTTAAATGATTGACGAACGCCTCCCGCACCTGTCCATTTAACGAATAATGCAAATATAGATCGACTAAGTGCATTCACCTTTACTTTTCAGATTCGCCGAGGTTCCGATGAGGAGACACCGTCCGCTGCCATCGCGTGAACCAACAGCGGGTTCGATCGCCGTGTAGTGAATGGAATCCGAAGTGTTTGTGTGGTGACTATATTGGTGATAGTGTCGGCCTCTTCGGCCGAGAACCTGCGACGGAAGATTCGGACGCGAGCAGCGCGGGCTGCGGGCCCGCGATGAGCGCGAACAACTGCGACAGCATGACATATTTCTCTAACGCCTACATGCCAGATATGAGGAACGGCAGTGGTCATGAGCATCAGCAGGCGCACGCGCACTATGGTGCGGTGCCGCAGCAAGGGCACGAAATGGACGGTTGCGATCAGCAGCTCAGGCCGGCGCAACACCATTACCCCGCGCAACCAGCGCCGGGAATGCCTTACCCAAGGTTTCCGCCATACGATCGGTTGGGGTATTACCAGCAAATGGAGCAAAATGGGTACCGGCCCGACAGCCCCTCCCAGATGGGACACATGGGCCCAAAGTCGGATGGGTACGGCCCAAATGGACATCAACCGCCGACACCGGCAGTTTACACGTCCTGCAAATTACAAGCGGCGGCAGCGACGGCGGGGGGAGTTCCGGGAAGCCCACCACTGGAGCAAGCGCAACAGATGCCCCACCACATGCACCCGCAGCAACACATGGTGCAGCACGGGGTGCCGCCGCATCAGCAGCACCTTATGTACCCAGTGGACGATATGCAGCATCAGACTCAGATGCCAACCATGCACCAGCAGTCCATGCACGCGCAGCAGGCGCCCCCGCAGCAACCTCCCCCGAACACCAACGCCTCGCTGCCCAGTCCACTATATCCTTGGATGCGGAGTCAATTCGGTAAGAGTTGCTTCTTATTTTTTCATTTTCTTTATGTGCATCTATTTATTCATTTATTTATAACACATTCGTAATTTCTTATTTGAGATTTTATTTAATTCAATAAGGAAGACATTCTAGTACTCAGTACACCTGATGGTAAGTGGATGCTACTTGAAGAATCAAAATGCTGATGCGTTGTCACCCATGACGACTTTGATGGAATGCCTCGTTTCTCTACTTAACCAATAAAGTGGGTCTTCGGTTCTCTACACTCGTTATACGAAACACAGCAGCATTTTTTAGCTGTGTCACACTTTTATGCTGGGTAGGCGTGGTCCTAACCTGGTTTAGCTGAAACCATTGCAACCATAATATATCTGCAACATGGCTCTACTTTTAAATAATTATTCTAATTGCACAAGTTATTACAAACAAATACATTATGTTTTATGTGTGCGTTCATAATTAAAAGTACATAAATCTCCATTAATGTATGGGCCAAAAAGCAATGAAGTTTTTCATTCAATAGAATGAAACGTTGTTACTTTACGATGTTACTTTCGTGATTTATGCAATCAAAAGAAAAGACAAAGATAATCTAACAAAAATGGCTACTAAAATGATAAAAGTTACATTGAATTACTAAAAGGATAGCGGCGTAGGTTTACACGTAATTGAGGTAAAATAATCGATCATTGCACTTCTGCTCGTGGGTGTCGTTATAGATCGTAAGAGATCAGAAAGACCTTAATGCTTATTACTTACTTACTTACTTACTTATCTTCACACATAATCCCTAACGGGGTAGCCAGAGAGAACAGATCGCCAAGTGTCACGATCCTTACATACCTCTTTCGCTTCTTTCAGGTTCATTAACTTCTTCATACATGCACGTCTAGGTATCCGAGTACTCTTGACCTTCCCGTCATCGAGCAATTTGCTCACATGGTCTTCGAAAGTTAGCCTCGGTCTACCTCGACACCTTTTAATATTTACTTTCGCTCTATATATTTTCTTCACCATTCGGTCTTCACTCATTCGCTCAACGTGCCCAAACCATTGGAATACGCCCCTATCAATTTTTGTGATAAGGTCAAGAGTAATGCTTATTGATTGTGGTATCAGCACTACCGCTACCACAGATTATGTTATTAACATTGTAGTGGTGGTGAAAGAATATTCATATCACCGCGTAGCTGTCGTAAGAGGCGAGAGAGGAAGATGGAAACGAGATGGGGAGAACATCATCCTGATAAACTGAGGCATAAGCATAAGGGAGGCGTTTTTACAAGCTTTTACAAGCTGTTATGGATAGATGGATTACCACCACGTAAATTCATGTAAAATCACCCAACCAACGAAGATATGTAGCGTCCAAGGCGTAAGATACCTGGGGTACTGGGGTCGCCCAATCATATTATTCCACCTTAGTCGATAGTATTGAAAAATGTTTCAAAATCATTTGATGTCAAACATACGTAGGTTCGATATATTTTGTGATTGTTCCTATTCCGAAAAAATGTAAAATAGAATAATAGTCGAAACTTGTAAGGTACTTCCGCATTCATTTGCACAATTGCGCAGGTAGCAAAAGCGCAATACTCCCCAATTTGCAAAACCTCCAACTTCGCGTGCGTATCGACGTAAAACAATAAGTCTGTGAAACAATGGCCTTGCTTCTATTCGCAAGTTATTTATGATCCGAAGAGGCATTCAAAAGGAATTTCACTTTTCATAAAATTTACAACTCTCGACACAAAGGCGTTCACCTTCTGTTTTGCTGACGCCGCAGTGGAACAAAGCGCCCTCAAGTTGCGCTACCGTCGCCTACTGTTTTCGAATTTGTCTGAGAATTAATTTATGGTCAAGTTGCCTGATTTACTGGTTCTATTGTAATTGAAAGGTCATTCAAATTTTGCTCCAAAAGTTTGGTGTGTCTTCTTTAGTTTAGTTTAGTTATTTGCCTCGTGCTAACCTGAAGTCTGTAGTTGTTTAGTTTTGCCAAAAAAATAAACGTAAAAGAGTGCTGAATGAGTGTCAAGATTACAGAGTAAATATTTCTAAAGTTACCACACTAGGTACCAGGTTGTATATTATTTAATAACATTTATATTAATAACATTTAAGATGATTATAATTTTTTGCTTACGTTTTATTCGTCCATATGATGGGAGTGGTCACCCATCACCCATAAGAACCATATAATCCACCATATGAATCATGATAGCGTTACGCTGCTACCTGCTTCAACCTAATATTTTGTGAAATCACTATGTTATCATCTCTAGTTCTTTCTCCCGATTCATTGGCTCGAACTCGTATCTAAGTATTTACAGATTAATTCTACTGCGTAAAGCGTATTGACGTTTGAACCATATTAATTACTCTGTTTCAGTAGATTTCACTTGATTATGAGAACTTTTTATCATACTGCTATTCTAATATGGTTTATTTTGATTAATCAAATGTAATATATTATCATAAGAAAGAACTTTATTATATCGTCTTTTTTGTTACAGTGAACTATTTTTGAATTTATATGTAAACAAACTATTTTATACATGCACGTAATTTAAAATGTATGTGATAGTGCTAAAAATCAAGGCATATTTAGTGTTTACTCGTATATATTATAATATAATGGTACTTTTTTAGTAAGTTTGACTTCAGTAACTTAAATTTAGTGTTAGGACATGATAAGTGGAGTCAATGAGACAAAATTTAATACTTCTCCTACTAGAAGAATAGCGCGTAGACCTTTGTTAATTAAATTCTTGGTTAGTACTGACATGTAGATCGGTAAACTCAGTACATTAATTAGCTTTTAAACCATAAATTGAAGTACCTAACAAGTGTGTGTAATAATTTAGATGGATACCAATAGTTTTTTAGTTTCACACATGTTTCACATGATTTAAAATTTTGAAAGTAGAATCATAAAAAAATAGATGTCATATTCAATTTCACGTCACAATTTGCCCGCAATCCTTATAGGGCACTGAGTGATCGTCCTCCTTCACCACGTTAGTTCGTGAACAACACTTTTATGTATTGCACTTTGTTATCTGCTGCTCGTAGCTGGTCTGCTCTGGATATGTTACACAAAATATAATAGAAGCGCCATCTATAGATGAAAAACCACAAGAATAAGAGGTGACAATGGGGTGTGCCAAAAAAATCTTACGGTTTCCGATAGATGGCGGTACATCATATCATGTAAGTCAGACGTAAAATAAATACCAGACTGAGACGGGACAGCACCGTGAATGATATGGGACATATGGTGCTGCAATCGTCATATTAACTCTGCCAAGCATGATCCTCCCTATAGGATGCCTACGTCAAGATGTTTACTTTTGTGGGCTGATAAAAAGTGGAATCATCATACGAAAAATACCTAAACCACTAGCATAATTTTACTTACTAATATATAGGTAATTTAAAAATTTACTGTTCGTAAACATTAAGGGTCTTTGAACTTTAGATTAAACTGAAAAGAAACCTTTTTATTGTTGCTCTTTGTTTATCAGTCCGTAGCTGTCCACTTCTAGGCATGTGATGATGTGACTCTCCCATAAAAGGAAGGATTTGCCATTCTCGTCATCCTTGACGTTATACGTGGTAGAGCAACGCTGCAGCTATATTGGAGATGAATGCGGCTCGACGGGGGAAGGACCACGCTCTTACAGAATACCAGCGTAAAATAGCCGCTTGATGCTGCTGTGTTTCGTATGTTGAGTGTAGAGAACCGGAGACCCGTTTTGTTGGAATCGAGGCACTCCATCTTAGTCATCAGAGTTGATAGCGCATCTGCATTTCGATTCTTAATCGAGGCTAAATGTAGATGTCTATGGGCCACAGCATCCACTTACCATCAGGTGGACTGTGTGCTCGTTTGTCACCCTTATTCTATAAAAAAGTATCTTAATTTTTTTTGCTGTCGTTGATATATATATTTATACATCTGATGTACGGTCGTATGTAAGAGAGGCCGTGGTTTCTTTTTAATTATTACTACTTACGTCAATGACCTTTCAATATAATGAGTTGATTATCAATGAAATAGGAGGGTGTTTTTAGGGAATACTTTTATTGTTATTTCAACGTTAAAAGTAACTATTCCATTCATCCATTACAGCCTATAAAAGTCCACTGCTGAACACAGTCCTCCCCATAGATTGCCTCATAGGGGGGATTTTGCCATAGTTGCCATGCTTGGTGAGCAGCTTGTGAACCGGGATTTAATTAACGGTAACCCCCCTACTATTTTGAGAGCGTGGTTTCCCCGGAGAAAAACTTTGGCAACAACTGTACTATAAAAAACCTGAACCGCCATAACACGTATAACCTTGTTATCAGGAAGATGCTGTTGCCCATGTTTCAGTTTCCGTCTGTCGCCTCTTACGACACCCTCGGGAGTAATATGGGGTTTAGTTGGGGTAGAGGTAATTAGTCTCTGTAAAATGTCCAGTAAATATTTCATATTACACTAGCTTGCCAGGCAGACGTTGATCTGCCCTTTTCGACGACCCTTTGTCATGTCCTATTAAAAAAACAAAAAAATTGTGGGTCACTCATGGACAAAAAAAACTATCCTATCTCTCAAGTTGGACCAAACTGCACACGGTATGCAAATTTGATTAAAATCGGTTAAGTAGTTTAGGAATCCATCGCGGACAAACAACGCGACACGTAATTTATATATATTAAGATATTAAGATTATGTCAAATCTGTACGCTATCTGTACAAGCTGCGTGTGGGTCGCACGTCCGCCTGAGTCCAACAAAGCGCAAGTCCTGGCGACTCGAAGAGCCCGCGTCATAACCCTTGTCGAGCCGGGGCAGATAAGATGCAACAATTTTGACTTAGTTTCAGGCGCTTTGGAGTTGTTCGTAGCGGTTAATTAATTTTCAACTTCGAAGGCCTTTGATGAGTTTGGGATTAATAGAGTTTAGATTAATAGCCATGTATTTTATTATAAAAGATTCGGACGAGATAAGTCCTTATATTATACGAA